TCTCTCAAAATATCTTTAACATGAAGTCTATACTATGTAATTAATAACATACTTTCACTTTCTAAACTTTTTTTTTTTTTTTTGGCCAGTTCTGGGACTTGAATTCAGGGCCTGGGCACTGTTCTTGAGCTTCTTTTGCTTTATACCACTTGAGCCACAGGGCCACTTCCAACTTTTTCTTTTTATGTGGTACTGAGGAATGGAATCCAGGGCTTCCTGCCTGCTAGGCAAGCATTCTACCACTGAGCCACATTCCCAGTCCAACATATTCTAAACTTTTTTTTGGCATACTAACACTCAGTAGATATCCATTCTTTCCAATTCTCTTATTTGCCACTGAACTGTCAACTCATCAAGGGCACAAAGTTAGCATAGAACTGAACTCACTGAAAAGAAGTTAGTAATTTCTCCTAGGTAAAATAATTTCTTAGAGGCAATAAAGGGATAAAACAATTTTTTAATTCAGTTGAAAATAATCTCAATCTAGCAGCCTAAGATTCCTGTCTATTCCATGACTGAACTCCAACTCAAAAATAATATGGAGTCTGACTCAAGAGGTAACAACCTGTGCTCATGACATCACAAACACAGTTTTGTAATGATTACAAGGAGGCAGGGGTGGGTTGGCATAGATGAAGATAGCTTTGTGATTATGTTTACTTCTTATATGAGAGCATTTCCCATCCATATTTTTTAATTGGCCATATTTTCAAAGAAGTTTCCTTTAAGAGGAAAAATCTGACAGATTTTTTACGGTGACAGACAGAAGAACCTCTGCAGAACCCAAGATTTGAGAAAGCCAGCTTCATCTTCAGCTCAGCGGTGTAAGGCAGTGAGATCCCTTCAGAGTGAAGATTCATTCTGGTTTGAACATAGACATCATCTGCCAGTGATTTTTAGGCATAGGGAAGACAGCCTGACAGGCCATTACAGACTTTGAAATTAGTCTAAATTAATATACTCAATTTAGTCTAGTCATAATATTCACAAATGGATTATTTTGTGGATTTCTGAGACCAAATCTTTAAAATGGATTGCTCTTTGACATCAGTGAATTCTCCTCACCAGCAGGTAATACTGACTTAGAAGTATAAATTAAGATCAGTATGATCCCCTAAATACTAAAATAAACCTAATTTTTTAAAATGCATTTTTAAATAAAGACATTTCATTAAGTTCTAAATTCCTATGTCAGTGCCCCCTACATTAGCAGAGGTAACAGAGTTGAATGCCCTTGAAACATAATTCCATCCTTCGCTTACCACAAGCACTTGAGGAGAACCTAGCCATAGTCTTGCAATTTCCCCACAGGTTCGTACAGTGTGAGACAGGTATAAACAGAACTCAGTTTTGTAAATACATAAACTTCCAGGAAGAAGTTTATGTCTCCTGGCTGTTTCCTTTCAGAGGAGAAGCATAAGAGTCACAATGTACCGGTGCCTGCCTGACTCCTTTCCCTGAGTTCCTAAGCCAAAGAGCTCAATACTTCTCATTAAATCCACCCTTTGTTCAAGGACCTACAATGACTCTATTGACCCTTCTATCAACATCCACAAGTCTGGCCTCTGAGTCCCCTCCACCCTCTTGCTACCCATGACTTGACCAACCCACATTCTCTCCAGTCACTCATGTATTACACACACACACACACACACACACACACACACACACACTTAGTCATTCATACCATCATTGCACACTGCATATTCTAAAAGAGCTTTTCTTTTTTTCCTAACCCAGAAAAACATTTCATTTCCTTGAATGTTCATACTTATTTTAGAACTGATTGAGAAATAACTTGTCCATAGTTATAAATTATAAAGGACCAAGGTCAATCTAATTCCATAGCCCATATTACTTTCTGATTAAACCATAACTGCCCAAGTCCATTTCAAAATTTACTGACTCAGAAAACTCCTCTACTATATCTCAATGATTGTTACTTCAAGATCTCTCAGATCATAAAGCTTGCAGCACACAAAGTTTGGTTTTATTTAGACATTGTTTCCTACAAGTTAAAGCTTCCAATAGTCTGACTCCTCACACGTGACTTTATGTCCTGTTCCAAGGAAAAGGGCACCTGTTTTACATCTTTCATATCTTCAACTTGTCACTACAACTTAAAGAGATTTCTTTGTCTACAGGAATGCTCAATCAGTATTCAGCACAAAGTTTTTTTTGTTTTTTGTTTTTACCAAAAAAGGCCTTTCATATTAAAAAAAAATTGACAGAACTGTCCTGCCTCTACCTTTCAGTTACACAACATATTAATTATCTGAACTTATCAGGAGCAATTCAGAAGGTTCCATTCTAATATTTCACAGATCTTAAGTTCCACAGGAAAGCTACTGCTGAGGTCACATTTCAAAGCATTGTTTGAGGATTTTTCCCTTTGGTGAGATAAATGTTTGAGGTAAGAAGCAGAGTAACTCTAACAGAAATGTGCATGTACACACACACACACACACACACACACGTTCACACACATATACACACATAAAACACTATGATGGTTCTGCCAGCATGTTTAGCACACTTGTGCTCTCCAGAAGTTCCAAAACTTCAACAAGTGGTGCTCAGTGTCATTTGTGTGAGATCTTATATTTAAGGTTGAATTTTTCTATCATAACTCTGGTTACATAGAATGAATCAAAATTCCAAACAAAGCCTTCTGAGAACTGTGAGGCAGTGGGCTACAGGGCTGGTCTCCCCTTATTCCTAGGTTTCCTCAAACCCTTTAATCCCCACCCTGTGGAATATATGCAGCTCCACAAAGGGAACTTGCTAGATATAGATATAAATAGAATTTACCCATATAGCCTAAGTGCTATTGGCACTAAACAACTTATACTGATTAAAACAACTATAGATAGTAAAGACTCTGTGTGGGTATGTGTGATTTTTTAAAATCAAATTTTAGTCTCCAAATTAAAACTTTCCTGAATAAAGGACTTCGGGGGAGGGGGGAAAGAGGGGGGAAAAAAAGAAATTAAGCAATTAATGTACTACTTCAGGAATACTTAAGTTGGTAATATATCAATGTCCAACTAACAATTAGTATTCATTACTGCTCATCCTGCTTACATATGACATCAGACATCTTTTTTGTTGTTTGTTTCCTGTGAGAGTCTTTGGCACTGAATGAAAGGACAAGTCAAACCAAGCAACAACCAAAATTATTAGTTTTAGTTTGTAAACTATTTCCCATTTCCCTTCCTGCTTGAATGGATAATACCCAAAGCAGATATCTGTTCAATTCTAAATTATTCATGTTAATGGATAATTATTGGCAGAAAGGTGCTGATAATCCAAAATGAGAGGGGAAATTGAAAAAAAATCTATTTTGGTTTTGGAATATATGTTTTCAGCATATTTATCTTCTCAATTATTCCCAGCATGAGCTAATATTTGTGTTCATTTGCAATCTCTAAGTACATAGTAACTGGCCACTTAGTAGGGGGTGGGGATTGCTCTGAGGCATGCCAGTTCACTAGTGGAAACTAGAACAGACTGCTATTCAGCCTGTACAGGAGCAACATCCATTTCAGTTATTTTACAGTTCTGTTTAGCCTCCAAAATATCAATAGACTAGCACAGCAGACTGATTTACTAGACTTTAAAAGACCTGCTTGAGAAACAATAAGGCCAACGAACATAATTCTTCATTGTTTGCAAATTATGTACCACAAACATTGAACAAGAGCCTCCAGGGCCACTCAGCCTAAGTCCCAGCAGATTTCTCCACCTCATCAGGAATGTAATCTCATTTACTCAGAAGGAAATTTTCTATATATTTTTAGAAGTTATATAATTCAGAAAACGTTTTTTAAAACACTTAGAAATTATTTAAAAGAGCAGGGTCTATTCTTAACACCACCACCTCTTCTCTCTCTACACTTTGCTTTTCCACTTTTGACACAGGTTCAGAAAAACAAAGAGAAACCAGCCTCCTCAAAGGGCTCCTAAATATACAGAAGCCAAAGACTGAAAAATTACCAGCCTCCGGTTTTCTAAATAAAGCATTTTATGTAGTACTTATTCTTTTTAAAGAAAGAAAAGGAAAAGTCTGGCTAATTCATGAAAAGAAAACTGACTAAAAAGTTAGGGGGAACATCTTACATAAAATGCCACCAGTCAGCTTCTTTCAACTTTCCAATTTTTACACCCATATTGCTTCCTGAGAAGCCACCTAGGGTAGACAGCCACACCACCAAGGGCGGGGGGGGGGGGGGGGGGGTCGGAGCTGGTCCTAGTGAGCCGACAAGCTAAAAATACGCCGGCCCAGTAAACAAATCCCACTCCATCCCGACCGGAGCTACACCGTTAACCTAGTAATTATGAGAAGAGTGAGATCACGCAGCCCCCGGCTTACTCATCATCAGCTTCTAAAGTTTCCATCGGCTATGGCAACTTTTCTGTTTTCTAAAGTTCATAAGCCTATCCTAGGAGCGCTCTCTCGCTCGCTCGCGCTCTCTCTCTCTCTCTCTCTCTCTCTCTCACACACACACACACACACATCTTTTTCCGCTCCTTTCCTCCATTACTTTGGACGCACCTCAGTTGGGCTATCGATAAGGAACAAGTTTGTCTTCTTTTCATTTTTACCTTTACACTTTAAAATGAACTTTATCCTACTATGGGGACTGGATCCTGCATCTTAACCATTCTACAACTCTTCTGTCCCTCCCCAAAAGTCTACGCTGACGAGAAAGGACCGTCCAAACAGCCCAGCGCAGCTCAAGGAGTCCAGGAAAGCCCGGGGCTAGGAGCGCGGGATGCAGGTGGAAGACGGGGGGGGGGGGGGGGGGGGGGGGGAGAAGGTGAGGATAAAGCAAGGGGCAGTCAGGCGACCAGGGGTGCTGAGGGGAGGGGGCTTCAGGTGGAATATCAGAACAGAGAAAGGGGGTCAGTGGAGATCAGAGGGGCAGAGCCTGGACTCTGCAGAGGTGGGAGGGGCGGGAGCAGACCGGGGAGGGTGTCAGGGCTGGGGGCTCCGTTACCCTCGCGACTCTCGGGGCCAGGCCCTAGGCCAGGGCGGAGAGCGGGGCCCGGCCGCCTCTCCTCATTCCGCGGCAGTGACCCAGGGGTCCGGCCGGCCCCTCCCCCGACGACGATGGAGGTGGAGGTGGTGGCGGACACTGAGACCGCGGCAGGCGCTCCACACAGGATCTGAGCCGGAGCTAGGCGGGACTGATCGGGACTGGCCTCCCCGTGGATCTTTTCTCTCTCTCTCTCTCTCTTTTTTTTTTTTTTTGTCTTTTTGCCTGCTCCACGGAACCCGGTCGCCCACTCCGACTCCGGCGGCTGGTTCAGGATCGCTGGCTTTCAGCCGTCCGGCCGGAAACAAGCGCCAGTTTCCGGCCGGAGCGGGTTGGTGGTGACACCCAAGCCGCCCCCGGGCCTCCACTCTCCCTCCCGCCCTCCTCCCTCTTCCCTCCTCCCGCCTGTCCTGCCCCGCCCCGCCCCGCCCCGCCCCACAGCAGCCCCGCCTTCAGCGCCGCTCCCTGGCGGGCGGCTGCGGCGCTTACCCCATGCGTGACCCAGGGCTTCTTTGGCCTGCGTCCCTGAAGCCCCGGCGCCGCCCGCGAGCTTCCACCTGGGCTGGAAGGGTCGGGGTGAACTCTTAACTCCTGAGGTCGAATCCGTCGACTCCTGCCCTTCGGGAAGAAACAGAAAGCGGTGGGCAAGTTCTGGAAAGGTGAGAGGAATGAAAATTCTAGTTAATCTCCCGTCTTTCCGGCTGCTTCCCAAGCAGTCTCCACCCTGACCTGTCACTCTGTAAAGTGTTCGTACCCTTCTCTGTAAACACTTAACACCTGCATAACAAGGCCTCCCCATTGACACATCAGCCTTAGACTGTTAGCAGGATCCAGAAACATGGGCCACTTTTGTGTGCAATGCCTTTTTATAGCAATTCAGCTGTAATTCAAATATTTATTGAGCCCCTACTATGTGCAGGGCACTACATCTTGTTGATGTCGCTCCAAAATCAAAGATCTTACAATTTAGTAAAATTCATAAAGCTATTTTATAGAAGGCAGAATTCACACCATGTGAGTTATAGTGAGCTACAGCTATAAGCACACAAGCCATCTTTAACATTTAGTAAACTTACCAGACTTGTTAAGTGAATATTAGAATAAGAACTTTATCAAATACGAACCACTGTAGTAAGTACCTATGACAAATACAAAACAGAGCTAGCCTCTCTTATTCTTCAATAAAAAAAAATGCTACATTCTAATTCAAGTTCCTAACATTGTACCTCTGGTCTGTATATTCAAAATAGTGTTGCTTATGTTCATTAGGACTACACAAAAACAAATAGTACGATCAATTTATTTTTGCGAACTACTTCCTGAAGCTCTTGGTTTCTGAAGGCGAGAGATGGAGCACAGCTATTTAAACTTACCAAGCTCAAACTAGGAAACTGATACTTGAAATAGGAAACTTCTAGACAGCTATATCTCATGGGGATGCTCTTGGGTTTAGAGTTGAACATTTGGGGCTGGGCCTAAAGCTATACATACATACCTCGTCTGAGCAGGTCAGAGTCCCTTGTACAGGGAGTGTCCATACCAGTGTCCTACAATACAGGTTAACAGACCATTTAGGCACAATTTTTGACCCCTGTTCACTGGCAAACTTGAAGAGTAGGATGATTCAACTGAACTTCATAGATCATACCCACCCCTTGCTAGCTGAAGCTGAGGTGGGAAGACAGATCCAGAGATAAAGAGCCTCAAAAATCTGGAGGCAGATGGGCTGGGAAGGTGGCTCAGTGGTAGAGCACTTGCCTTGCATGCCTGAGGCCCTGGGTTAGATTCCTCAGCACCATGTAAGCAAAAAGAAAAAAGCTGGAAGTGGCACTGTGGCTCAAGTGGTAGAGCTCTAGCCTTGAGCTGAAGAGCTGAAGGACAGCACCCAGGCCCAGAGTTCATGATAGATTAGTTATAAAAACAGCCCAGATGCCCTACAACAAATGATTGGATCAAGAAAATGTGGTATATATATACAATGAAATTTTACTCATCTGTTTGAAGAATATAATGTCATTTCCAGGGAAATGGATGGACCTAGAAAAAAATGATGTTAAGTGAAATAAGTCAGGCTCAAAGAGACAAATGGTACATGTTTTCTCTCATACGTGAAAGCTAGATCTAAAATACAAACCTACATGATAATATATACAGAGTTTTATGCATATACACACAAACTGACTAAAGGATGGTATACTTAGGGGAGGACTATGGACAACTAATGAATTGTTTATCAGAATGATTACCAGGAAGTGGAAACATGTTTGGGGGAGGAACAACTGGAGGCACACAAATGGAGAGTGGAAGAGTGAGCAAATGCAGTCATTATATCAAATGTACATTATGTAAAAATTGAACTACAGAACATAGCTTGAGAGTAGAGATGTGTGGAGGGAAAATGGGGGGGAACAATATAAGGGGTAACATAGATCAAGATACATGGTACTCATAACCTGACTTATTGTAACCTCTTTGTACAACTGCTTAATAATAAATTTTAAAAAACAAAAAAAAGCTCTCCTCACCAAGGCCCTCCCACAATGTTATATTCATCAGTTAATTGTCTTTCTAGTCTTAACACACTACCACAGACTATTGCATCAGGTATGGGGTTAAAAAGCACCTTCCATCCTCAGTACCAGGCAGACTTCTTTTGGCAATGACCACAAAGAGTTTCCAGATTCAAGATCTGGGCCAAGTTGCTGGTCAAAGTCATTTAAGTGACCACACATTATAGGCCTGCTTGGAAATTTAGGGACCAGGAAGTGATAGGGTTGCAGTTGCTTTGTGCCTGTTTCTTACACTGACCATCTATCACTCATTGTTATTTGTGTAATTGCTCAATGAGCTGCTTGTCTTTGGTCAGCTCAGCCTGTGTGGGTAGCTGTGTGGTCAGCTGGGCTAGAGGCCAGGCCACCTGGGTTCTAGTTCCAGCTCACCCAGCACCAGATCCATTAAGTTACTCCTTTCCCATCCCCATATGTTGGTTTTTCTGCCCCTACTCTTGTGATGTGCAGACATTTGGGTTGTCACTAGGTTAGACGCTCAGAAACATCTGTCTGATATAGGTGGTTACAGCAATCTGAACACAGTTGATTATTTCTTGCTGCCAGGTAAAACAGTAAGGAAAGAAAAGAGAAGCAGCAGAAATATCTTTACTAGTGTACATAGGCCATACACCCTCAACTGCTATTTGATTCAGAATTATTTTCCAACCTAATGACCTGTTTTTGTTTACCCATTTTAGCAATCCTAAGGGCTTTTCTATGAACTCCCAGAGCTTTTACTTCACTTAAACACAAGCAGAAAAACCAGCGCTTTGTATTTCCAGAGAAACTTAAAGGAGAATCTTAATATAGAGGCTAATGGATAGAGTAGGGGAAAATGTTCAGAGAACGCTATTTTGCAGTTAACCAGGAAGGAGGAAAATTATTTACATTTGTATGCTTTTGCGGTAGAAAAGAAAACCAAACTAAAATAACTTCCTTTCCACCACCACCACTATAATTTAAACCAACGGGTACAGGGGGTGGGGGGTGGTTCCTAAAACTATGTACAATGCATCCCTAGGAACCTCACATCAGAATTCTTAGGACTGAAGACCATGAATATATATGTATTATACATATATATTATATATTATATATACACACATACATCCCAAGGGTTTTTTTTTTTTCTTTCTTTGGTTTTTTTGTTTTATTTTTGGTCAGTTGTGGGGCTTGAACTCTGGACCTGGGCACTGTCCTTCAGCTCTTCAGCTCAAGGTTAGCACTCTACCACTTGAGCCACAGTGCCACTTCTGGTTTTCTGGTGGATGATTGGAGATAAGAGTCTCAGAGGGCCTTTCCTGCCGGGGCTGGCTTTGAACCTGGATCCTCAGAGCTCAGCCTCCTGAGTAGCTAGGATTACAGATGTGAGCCACCAATGCTCGGCCTCCAAGGGTTCTTTTAAAGTTAAACATATTCCTAGAAATGAAAATATATGCTAAGGGCTAGTGGCATGGATCAAGTGATAAAGTCCTTGCCTAGCATACTTACAACCCTGGGTTCAATCCTAGTACTGCAAAAAGGAAGAAAGGAAGGAAGGGAGGGAGGAAATATATATTCACAAGAAATTTACATATAAATGTTATAACAGCTTTATTCATAATAGCCCCAAACTGAAAATAGCTCATATGATCACAAACAGAAAAAACAAACAACTATATTGTCCTTGTAATTTTTCATGAATTATTATTTATTTATTTGCTGGTCCTGGGACTTGAACTCAGGGCTGAATACTGTCTCTGAGCTTCTTTGTGCTCAAGGTTAATGCCTGAGCCACCTGAGCCACAGCACCATGTCTGGCTATTTCTGAGTAGTTTATTAGAGATAAGGGCCTCACCGACTTTCCTACCCGGGCTGGCTTCAAACCATGATCCTCAGATGTTAGCCTCCTGAGTAACTAGGATACAGCTTGTGAGCTACTGGCTCCTGGCTTTAAATGAACTTTTTTTTTCCCCCAGGACTGAGGACCGAACCCAGGGCCTTGCGCGCGCCGGGCAGGCGCCCTTTTGCTGGGCTAAATCCCCAGCCCCTAAATGAACTACTTTTAAACAACAATATAGATGAATCTCAAAATCATTTATTGATTCTATATTTTCATTTATCTCTTCTGTTTTCCAAAGCTATAGCATATTTATTGGTGGTAGAGCTCAGTTGTAGAGGACTTGTCTAATATGTGTGGAGCCCTGAGTTTGATCTTTAGCGCTGCAAAAACAACAACAGCAACAACAAAGTGATTTGTGGGGCAAAACTAACTATTTATATAAAATTCAAGCTCATGAACAGGCAAAACAATCTTGTACATATAAATTAGTCCTGGTTATCTATTGGGAGAGAAGTGCAGAACAGAAAGGAATACAAAGGAACTTTCTGAGGTGATGGAAATGTTAATTATTTTTATTTTCGTAAGTCATGGGGCTTGAACTCTGGGCCTGGGTGCTGTCCCTCAGTTCTTCAGCTCAAGGCTAACGCTCTACCACTTGAGCCATAATGCCACTTCTGGTTTTCTGGTATTTTATTGGAGTTAAGAGTCTCGCGAAGTTTCCTGCCCAGGCTGGCTTTGAACTGTGATCCTCAGATCTCAGGCTCCTGAGTTGCTAGGATTACAGGCGTGAGCCACTAGCGCCTGGTGGAAATGTGACTCTTGATGAGTGGCTGTTACACATGTGTCAAGTTGTATACTTAAGATTGCTATATGTAAATTTTACTTCAACTCAAAAATAAAAAAAGATATCCAAGGGTTTGTTAACACCTAAACAAGCTGTAAATTTATAATTATTTGTGGATCATCTGATTGATATTTGCTTTACCCATTGGAGTATGAAGCTCCAAGAGGTAAATTCACTATTTTATATATAGAGAGTTTATATATATAAACTCTCTCTCTATATATATATAAAAACTAGCATAGTAGTTGACCTATGAAATTCGTTCATTCACTAGTGAATGCATGAATAAATTGATAGACAACTAGAAGTTGATAGCCATTGCTTTAGTAGCTTATCATTTTACATTCATAGTCTTATAAAAATACAACTGGGGGGCTGGGAAGGTGGCTCAGTGGTAGAGTGCTTGCCTCACATGCATGAGGCCCTGGGTTCGATTCCTCAGCACCACATAAGCAGAAAAGCTGGAAGTGGCACTGTGGCTCAAGTGTTAGGTCGCTAGCCTTGAGCTGAAGAGCTGAGGGACAGGCCCAGGGACAGTGCCCAGGCCCAGAGTTCAGCCCCCATGAATGATAAAAAAAAAAAAAAAAATTTAAAAATTTAAAAAATTAAAAATACAACTGGGCAACTCGAGCTGGGTATAGTGGTGTTTGCTTATAATCCCAACACTAGGGAGGCAGAGATGGGAGGATTCAGAGTAAGTCTGAAGCCAGCTTGAGTTACATAAAGAGACCCTGTCCAAAAAAGAAAAAAGAAAAGAAAACGAGCTGACTGGGTTTCTCTGTTCTCCGTCTGCTTATATGCCATTGTTAGATCAAGCTTCCTGAATTTTACCATTGATCACTTCTCTCTTTTCCAAAGCTAGGGCATATTAGTTATTTTAAAAAAAAATGTTCAAGCCAGGTGCCGGTGGCTCACGCCTGTAATCCTAGCTACTCAGGAGGCTAAGATCTGAGGATCATGGTTCAAAGCCAGCCCCAGCAGAAAAGTCCATGAGACTCTTATCTCCAATAAACCACCAGAAAAAAAATGGAAGTGGCACTGTGGCTCAAGTGGAAGAGCTCTAGCCTTGAGCAGAAGAGCTGAGGGACAGAGCCCAGGCCCAGCGTTCAAGCCCCATGACCGACAAAAAATAAAAATAAAAATTTCACAATTAGTCAGGCATTTGTGACTCATAGCTAAAATCCTAGCTTCTCAAAAGACTGAGATCTGAGGATTGTGGTTTGAAGCTAGCCTGGGCAGTAAAGTCTGTGAGACTCCTATCTCTAATTAACCATCAAAAAGCCAGAGGTAAAGCTGTGACTCAATTGGCAGAGCACTAGCCTTGAGCAAAAAGGGCTGAAAGGACCTAGGAGAGAGCCCAGGTCCTGAGTTCAAGCCCTAATACCAGCACCAAAAAAAAAAAAAAAAGTTCACCTCTCTTCCTTCTTGCATACAAAGCCATCTAAACGTTAAAGGAGATTGGGAGAAGGAAGACCAAGTAGGAGAGAGAGTGGTGAAACGATGACGGGTGAGGTTCTCGTCCCCTGCCAGTGCTTGGTTTAAACAGGTGATGAAGTTCTGCTGTAAGAAAATCTGCTGAAGGCTTTTTGGAAATGACTTCTTTGTTCTTACAAGAGGACAAAAATAAATAAAAGAGCTGAGCTCTAGTGGCTCACACGTAATCCTAGTTACTCGGGAGAGTGAGATCTGAGGATTGCAGTTCGAAGTCAACCTGGACAGGAAAGTCCTTAAGACTCTTATCTCCAATTAACCACCAGAAAACAAAGTGGTGCTGTGGCTCAAAGTGGTAGAGCAAAAGTGCTCAGGGACAGTACTCAGGCCCTGAGTTCAAGCCCATGACCAAAAAGAAAAAAAGAAAGAAAGAAAGAATAACTTTTTTTTCTTCTGTTGTTGAAATTCATTGAATTTTGGACTAATGTGCTGGTTAGAAGACTAGCTAATATACTAAGGATAGCACAGTTTAAAAAATAAAGAGAATCTGAGTCTTTAAGGAATGACTAAATAAATAAATACTATGGTAGGCATACTTTAAATTCTTTTTATAAGTACTATCTTTCTTAGCACTTAAGCCATTTTGAATTAAATTTCTGTTACTTATATAACCAAAAGTATCTCAACTAATAAAATGTCATCAACCCCAACTCCTCAGTTTCTACAGGATACAATAAAAATTCCAAAGGGATAGTTTGGGGAAACAAAGAAGGAGGCAAAATGCTTGATAAGAAATGTACTCACTATCTTGCCAATGTATTTGTAACCCCTGTACGGTATTTTCACAATAATAAAAAAAAATCCATAACTTACCTTGCAAGATCCTATGCACCCTAACCCCAATCTGGTCCTAATCCCAGAATAGAGTAACTTGTAATTTTCACCTTTACACTTGAATTCTACTTTCTTTACCAACAATAGTGTGCTAGTAAATATTAACAACTAGCTCTCCAGGGAGGAAAAAGCTCTTATTTATAGCATTTACTTGTCCACAATGCGAATATTCCCACCACTGATGATTTCCCGACATAAGGGAACTGAACAAGAAGTTGGGAAGAGAGATAGTAAGAGACAGTTGGAGCTGACCTCAGCATGCCCTGTTTATCAACATTTTCCCATCTGTTGCCTCCTTAGGTAGAGTTCAAGGCCCAATCTGTATCACTTCCCTTTATAAAGTTTTACGTAAAGTTCTAAACTATAAGGTCTTACCAATTAACTGGAACTTAATGATTGATTGGCGGAACTTACTTTCATAATTATTTGTTCATAGTCAACTACTACATAATTAATGAAAAACAGAGGAATAACAAATATTTCAGAAAACAGAAAGGTTCTGTGACACTAAATTACCTTCCTGTACTTTCTAAGGCTTCCTAGGATTAAGCATTAGGGGAACTCTTAAGAAGAAAATCTTTGTCTTCAGGCCTTAGGAGCACTCCAGATCACTGGTGTACCTTATTATAAATAGGACTTATCAGCTCACAATTATTACAAGTACCAGTCCCAGGGAGAGCTGAGTTAGGACATTAACTAAAGAGCTCTTGGCAAGACTGGGTGTGTTCCTATTCTAGTCTTGACAAATCCCCTGAGGATATATGAACAGGCTTGTAAGACCACAAGAGACTAACTGGCAGGTAAAGAGCCCATTCCTTAAGACAGCGAGGAGAGCAAATTCTATCTGACCTAATTGGAATGCCAGCCAGGTGGGTCAGCTTCATCTCCACCTTACATGTGACACACCCTCAGGCTTGAAGGAGACAAATAATTAAGTCTGCCAACACAATGACCAGGGCAAAGAGGGAAAACCCAGGAATGTAATGACTAAGTCACTCTTCCCCCTGACTAGCAGCACCGGGAAGCAGGCCAAATTTAGGCTACTAGAAACTGACCGCACATTCAAAGAATAGAAGATGTAAGACTACATGAAGCTCTGATTATTATTTCAGGGCATTCATTTGAGCCCTACTGTGAACTCCCATTTTTTATTTAACCAATGGTCTCTATTAACCTCTATAGTTACTACACACTAAGAGTATCTTCCTAAATTATACATGCATGCTCCTTTCCCTGCAGCTCATGAATGTCTCAGTCATGTGCTCTCCACTGTTGCCTTCCAGATTGCTGAACTCTGAACCATTATGTGGCTGTTCCCATGTTGCTTATGGTCTGTGGACAAGCCTGCAGACAACTGCAACAACTCAGAGAAGCAAATGAAAGCTGTTTTTTACCTGGGAAAATAAAATCTGGACTTGAAAATTGTGACTACTATTTAGGTAACTTTGCTTTTATATAAAGAGATAAAATCCTAAGTGGCTCTGTGGCTCAAGTGGTAGAATGTTAGCCTTGAGCTGAAGAGCTGAGGGACAGGGCCCAGCTCCATAGTTCAAGCCCCACGACCCACAAAACAAAACAAACAAAAACAACAACAACAAAGAAATAAAATTCTGAGGTCAGAGAAAATTAAAATTAAGAGAATAAGACCAAGTACTTAGAGGATCCATGGGTAAGTTCTCTAAGATCACCCAGGGAAAAGCATAAAAACAGAGGGCAATTTAAAAAGAAATGAATGACTATGGGAGAGAGAGGACCAGTAAGACAAAACTGAAAGACTGAATAAGAATAGGAGGCCCTGTGTGCTAACGGGGTACTAGCCTTGAAACACTTTTTAAATAGGTTAGTGCCCACAACTAGTGTCCTTCCTCTTTTTCCCTTCGGCACAGATCACACTCAAGTGGTAGCTCCAGTATTTACTAGTAAGTGATGCTGAATCAAACACCATACTGTCTGCCTCCTTATCGAGACCTTCTGCAGGAACAAGAGCTCAGAAAAATGGGAGTTAATATATTATGTAAATTCTGCTGATATTTTAATTTTTTTTTGTTTGGGTTTTTATTAACTGTATTTTTTTTGTCTTTTTTTTTTTTTTTGGTACTGGGGATCGAACCCAGGACGTTGCACTTGCTAGGCAAGTGCTTTGCCACTGAGCTACATCCCAGCCCTCTGCTGATATTTTAAATTCCCACCAGGCACAAGACATGCAAAAGATGCAGCCAGTGCCCTTAAAGAAGTCCAAATCCTTCTGTGCTTGACACTTGTTCTTTATCTTATCTAGAAAAAAAAAAAGATGGAAAGTTGACTGTGTTTCTGCATACCTCTAATCACCAAGGGGATGAGGCAGGAGGATCGTGCGTTCAGGAGAATCAGGAGGGCTACACCTTAGAATGATGAAAGGAGTGACATGGAGCAAGATGCGATGTACCTCTAAACTGATTTGTTGAATGATAACTCCTCTGCATAACTACTTCAAGTTAATAAACATGATTTTATAAATAGATGGAAGGTGCTATGGGTGGTAAGTATAGTCAAAGGACTATTGGTATTCACTCCTGAAAGGAGATGTAAGTGCTACTCTTGCTGCCACACAGTGTATTGTCTTTTATTTCCTGCTTCCCATGAGACATTCCATTTGATCTTTGGTTTCCTCCTCCCCTCTTTCCCTGTATTAACAGTATCTGCAGAGCCTTATGCCATAAACAGCTTCTAACACTCAGCAAGAAAGTGTTGTGCGTAGCTGAAGCTACTGTTAAGTGATGCACAACCCACTTCTTTGCTCTGGCCTATTCCTGTGGAATGTGGGACGCTAGTTACAGACATATCTACAATGAGATAACATAGGACATAGTTTGTACCAGTGGCCCTGCTTAAATGTTAGAGTTTTTTAAATGTCTGAACCCATTGTCAATACCTCTGTATTGGATCATTCTCTCAATTCCTTTCTCTCAATACTCCCTGACACACTCCTACCTCATTACTTGTGATTTAAACCTTTATCAAAGTACTCTGTAACTGGTCTCTTGCCTTTAACCTCTGCCACCTATATTTTATGCCATGTTGTAAGCAAAGATCAAGTCATATACTCTCCCTATTTAAAAACCTTTAGTTGTATTCAAAGGGAAATGTAGCTACCACCAATAATAACATCATTATCTTCATTATCATCATTAAATAGCATTACCCATCCCTGAAAGACTAAAACTATTTGGAGAGCTGCTGCATTGTTTTGGTTGGGATCATTGTGTAACTGGAAAATAGTGTTATTTTAAACCAAAAATAACAATAGTTACTGACCCTTAAGGGAGGTGACATAATTCATATAGCAGAGAAACAATTCTTTAATTGTCACACTGCCTTCTTCCTCCAACAGAACTGGAGAAAAGGAAAGATGGTCTCTACAAGTCTCTACTTCTGAGACTCAGGATGGGAACTGAGAGATATGTTAAAGAATCCTTGGAAATAAGTTGAAGATTGAATCATAAGAAAAAGAACCTCACAGAAAAATAAGGAGTCTTTAAAGGAAGAGAAAGGCCCAAGTAATATGACAATATGGGACCTCACCATTGTCCTCAAATCTTCAGCAAAGATAAAATATGAAATGTATTTTCTGGTGAAAATTAAGTAGATGATTTGCATCTTAATACAATGTAGTACAACTAGCAGCAGCATATTAGCAACAATAAAACAACCCATCCATTGAGCTAGCTAGTAACCAGAGAAGGCACAAGGTTCACCCTCACCTTCAGAATCTGCACACGGGAATGAATAAACTTAAGGCAATTACATTTGAATCGCAAAAAATGGGTTATAAATTGATAAGAGGTGTGTACTTTACTTTTCACTCACTTTACTCCGTGTGACAGCCATTTCCTACCTTCTGAACAGAAAATACTTGCATGGTGATGATGTTGACATCCACGTTCCATTTTCCTTTCATTCAGAGGCCTGGGCCATTGTATGTTTTCTATTCCTTTCTAGCTCTGGTCAGCAAACAGTGTTTCCTCCTTCACAGTAGAACTGATTCTTGGGGCAGCTGCCCTTTACCCAAGTTGTGGAATTGGGTAGAACCCTTTGAACAGTGGTATTCTGGTGGCCTTTTCCTTAGTGAAAACATCAGTCTCTTCCCTAGACTTATTGCCACCCACATTTTTTTCTTCCCTGACAGGCCTCCCACGGGTAAGTTTTGCTATTAAGAGAGATTCCAGATAATTAGTACAGGGAATTGGAATCAAAGAGAGAAATAATGGAAGACATCACCATAGTGTCCTATTTAATAAAACTAGTATCTGAGCAGAACAATAGGTAGCCTCCCTGTGGTCTGAGGGAAAATAGTAGACAAGGAAAAAAGACAAGGACAGGGATTTAGTAGTAGAGTTAGGAATAAAAGATAATTTCCAGATGATGAATCAGTATCACCTCTGTGGTGTAAGTAGTCTCTCTGCCCATAGTCAAGAACTTGAAACTATCTCATTCTGACCTTCCTCTGGGTACATCCTTACCCATTAGATGAGGAATCTATAGAATCAGGAGACATACACATTTGGAGACTAAGACCACCCTATGAAGTTTCCACCCCAAATAGCTGAGCCATTACCAGGGACATCACAGCATTCCAAGCTGTGAAGATATATTTGTCCAGGTAAGAAAATGCAACATTTTTTATTTAACAAAACTTACTAGCTTGTGTATAATTTTTACCTATTTAGGCACATGAGGTGTGGGCCTCTATTCTTGTCCCAGAACCTACAAAAGTTAAAGGTAAGCCTTTAACTTAAAAACTTAAAAAGTTAAAGGTAAGTGCTTCAGACTAGAGAATTATATATTTAAGAAGATATTTTTATTATTTAGTAAAAGCCTATTAAAGAAGGGGTGACATTGTCAAAAAAGAAATGTACTCTTTCCCGGATGTATATAACTATAATCCCTTTGTACATCACTTTTATAATAAAAATTTAAGCCTACTAAAACTTAAGATATTTATTTAAAGTTACCAATTTACCTTGAAATTTTTCTCTCAAGTCAGATGGCCCTTTATCATATCTGTGTATAAAATTACATATGCCTCCCAAATGTTTGGTGTAACTAAGTTATTAGCACCTGTTGATTTCTTAGTTCCCAAAAAAGATTGTGGCTCTTCATCTCTAATGGGCTTTTTCTGGCTCTACTCCAATCTCTGTTGGGGAAGCACCTTCCATCTCTTTTCTTCTGCTTGACTTCAGTCTTCTCCCACTTCTTTTAGCCAGACTTCTACTAAAACAAAAGCAATATGTTCTTTTAAGTTCATACTTTCAAAGATTTTCTGTTAACTTATTGTTGTTGCTCCAGTACTAGAACAGTACTTTGTGCTTGCTAGGCAGGCACTTTATCACTGAGACACACCTCCAGTTCTTTTTTTTTTTTTTTTGCACTGATTATTTTTAGTTAGAGTCTAGCTCTTTGACCTGTCTGAGCCTGGACTTCAATCCTCCTATTTTGCACTTCCTGCTAGTTTGGATGACAGATGCAGATTACTATGCTCAGCTTCCCTGAAAACCAAGTCTTAGGAACTTTTTACTCACCTGGGCTGGCCTTAACTATGCCCTTCCTTATCTCTTCCTCTTTAGTAGCGAGGATTGAAGCACAGCTTAATTTAAAAAAGAAAATCAAATAAATTAACGCATTTACATTCCTTTCTTGCAAACAAAACAACTATTTTAACTGACTCAATTTTTTTCTCCTTGGGAGGTCATATACCTTTGGTAGGAAACAAGATCTATATCAGATAAATATATTGTTGAAGGTTTTGATGTCTCTTCTTTTTTTCCTATTGGGGATGAGGAAGAAGGCATGCCAGGTATGTGCAGGGTCTTAGGGGTTGGGAGAACTTGAGTGAGCTATTTATCTATAGAAGCTGGGAGGAAATGAAGCCAGAGGGTAAATACAAAACTATATTTGGGGAGGTGTGGCAGGGCTCAAGTAATAATCTGGAGAAGCAAGATCTTCTCATCTCATCAAGTCTAAGGGTCAATTTAGAGCCAAAAATAGGAGGTGAAGTCAGAGAACAGGAACTCAGTAAGCTTTAGTCCAATGGTTAAAGCAGGTGGGAGGTGAAAGGGACCAGTGCCAGGGAGTAAAGTAGGCGGAGTCCCAGCAAACTCTGGCAAAACCAGGTTAGATATAGTGAGAAAACAAGGAAGCACCTTTCCAGTAGAACTTACATTTTAGTGCTCAATGAATACTTTTGTGTGTGCACATGCACCAGTCATGGAGCTTGAAGTCAGGGCCTGAACACTGTCCCTAAGCTTCTTTTGCTTAAGGCTAGTGCTCTACCACTTGAACCACAGCTCAAATTCTGGCTTTTTGGTGGTTAATTGGAGATTAAGAGTTCACTGGCTTTCCTGCCCTGGCTGGCTTCCAACTGAGATATTCAGTTCTTGGCCTCCCAGTTGCCAAGATGACAGGCATGAACCACCAGCACCACCAGTACCTTTGACATGATGAAATGGGTTTATTCATTAATCAACAATACTTGTGAAGAACACATAAGACTTATTAAAATATGCCTATGGCTGGCAAATCCAGTAGCTTTCCTAAAGAGAAGCAAAAGGGAGAAAAAGATGTGAATGTGACATTTAAATTTTACTAAAATTACATACACAGTGGTTATTTTAGATATTCTCTTGCCAAATATAACATCTAACCCAGGAGTCATTTAGAAACAGAAAATTTCTTATCCCTAAATAAATTTTCTCTCTTCTTTTCCCTCCCCTCCCCCTCTGTCTCTCCTTGCTCCCAACCTGAGTCTGAAACTCATGGTGGAGGCAATAGTAATAAATAAGTCAGAGTTAGTTCCAATCATTACCTGGGACAAACACCATACAATTTCTTGCTCAACAGCTGAAGCAGCTGACCTGGCTGAAGGCACTCTAAAATGAGCCATCTTCATGGGTGATCACATGTTCAGAGCACATAGCTTCAGGGTATAGTGCCCATCCCAATGACAGTATATCACCTGGGAACTCACTGGAAGTACAGACAACTGACTTGTGGGCATAGACACCATAAGCCATTTAATATCTCATTACCTTATCTCTAAAACAGGCTTCCACTTCAGGTGCCTGTGGCTCACATCTGTAATCCTAGCTACTCAGGAAGCTGAGATTTGAGGATTGCAGTCCAATGACAGCCCAGGCAGGAAAGTCTGCAAGACTCATCTCCAATTAACCACTCAAAACTGGAAGTGGAGCTGTGGCTCAAAGTAGTAGAGCACTAGCCTTGAGCAAAAAAGCTCAGAGATAGCTCCCCGGACCTGAGTTCAAGCCCCAAGACTGACAAAAAAAAAAAAAAAAAGGCTTCCATTAACTACAAATGTGAATCTATCCGTGGCAAATTGGTTAGAAGCCATTTTCTATGAATCTTCAGTTTTGACCAGCTCTGAAGTATTTCACCAGATTCATTTTATGTCCCATTGTTTAAGAAGTTTTTCTTCTTTCTTCCTTCCTTTCTTCCTTCCTTCCTTCCTTCCTTTCTTTCTTTTTCTTCCTTCCTTCCCTTTCTTCCTTTCCTTCCTTTTCCTTTGCTCCTCCTCCTCTTCTTACTCCACCTCTTCTTCTCCCTCCACTTCTTCCTTCTCTTTTCTCTTCTTCTTCCTCCTCCTCTTTCTTTTCTTCTTCCCCATCCTTCTCCTTCTCCTCCTCTCCCAAATGAGTATCACTATGTTGCCCCAGCTGGCATGAGATTCCTGAGTATAAGCAAGGCCCAAAAGTCCAGTCAGTCTCTTTGCTCAACAGCAGCTCCAGAAGCCAACAGCATTAGCATCCACTAAGGTCCTATTTTTCACCGACATTGGGCTGGTAATAGAGAACTGGGTAGAAACATTAGGGTATGTTCTAAGGGTTCTAAGAGCAGAGTATGTTCTGAGTATGTTCTAAGAATAGAATCAAGACATGTTGGCTTCAAATACACAAAGACAGAAGTATGGAGTCTTATTCCCATGACCACCCAGAATGGCTATTATCCAAGAAATGATGTATGAGATGGCTCACATCTGTAATCCTAACTATCTGCGAGGCTGAGACCCGAATAATTGAAGTTCAAAGCTAGCATGAGCAGAAAAGTCTGTAAGACTCCATCTCCATTAACCAGCAAAATGTCAGGCTAAAGTCATAGCTCCAGAGGCACAGTGTAAGCTATGAGAAAGCAAACTAACCTAGAGCATGAGGCTCTGAGTTCAAGCCCCAGTACTGGCACAAAAAAAGATAAAAGGGGCTGGGAAGGTGGCTCAGTGGTAGAGTGCCTGCCTTGCATGCATGAAGCCCTGGGCTCGATTCCTCACTACCACATAAACAGAAAAAGCTGGAAGTGGTGTTTGGCTCAAGTGGTAGAGTGCTAGCCTTGAGCTGAAGAGCTGAGGGACAGCACCCAGGCCCAGAGTTCAGGTCCCATGACAAAAACAAAAACAAAAAAAAAAAAAACTAGAAATATAGAGAAAAGGGAAACCTGGTCCATTGTCAGTAGGAATAAGTGTGACCACTTTTGAAAACAATATGAAAGACTCTCAAAAAAATAGAATTGCTATCCAATCAATAATCCCACTAGTGAGTATAATTCCAAAGGAAATAAAACTAGTATGTCAAAGAGATAGCCCATATTTATTTCAGCACTCTCCACAACTCCAAGATATAAAAACAGCCAAGCACTGGTGGCTCAAGTCTAATCCTAGCTACTCTGGAGGCTGAGAACTGAGAATCATGGTTCAAAGCCAGCCCAGACAGGAAAGTCTGTGACTCTTACTTCGAACTAACTACCAAAAAAGCCAGAAGTGGAGCTGTGGTTCAAATGGTAGAGCACTAGCCTCAAGCAAAAAAGCTCAGGGACAGTGCTCAGGCCCCAAGTTCAAACCCTAGAAATGGTGCACACATGTGCATGCCCACACACACACACACACACACACACACAATCTAAGTGACTGCTAGTGAATGAATGGATTAGAAAAAATGGCATATTCTCACAATAGAATTCTATACAATGGAATGTGTGTGTATGTGTTTTGCAAGATCCTGCTAAGCAAACCTTTATCGAACACTGAATTATATCCCTAGCCCTATAACACAGCCCTTTGAAAGAATAAAATTGCAATTCATTACAATGTGAATAAAGCTGGAGGATATTATGCTCAGTGAAATAAATGAAAAACAGAAAGATAAAAACTACATGTAAAATCTAAAGAAGTCAAATTCATAGAGAATAGAGAATAAAGAATAGAATAGTGGGGGGGGCTGGGAAGGCGGCTCAGTGGTAGAGCGCTTGCCTTGCATGCCTGAGGCCCTGGATTCGATTCCTCAGCACCACATAAGCAAAAAGAAAAAAGCTGGAAGTGGCGCTGTGGCTCAAGTGGTAGAGCGCTAGCCTTGAGCTGAAGAGCTGAGGGATAGCGCCCAGGCCCAGAGTTCAGGCCCCACGACCTACAAAAAAAAAAAAAAAGAATAGAATAGTGGGAAGTGTTGCCTTGTCCCAGGTCGTAGCAGGCTGTGACAACTGAAGGTATGAGGACTGTGGATAAAGTCAGCTGTGAACTTACCAGAGGTTTGGCCCCAAGTGACAGCAGTTATGAGACAGGTATGCAAAAGGCACAGTGACAAGATTTAGCTCTAGCAGACAGCAATA